CGGAGCGCGACAGGTCCTGCGCGACTTCGGCCCGGTCGCCCCGGACCAGCAGCTCGCTCGCCCGCGGCGCACGCTTTCCCACTCGGCGCGCCCTCGGCCGCTCCGAGGGGCGCTCTCGCCTCGGCACCTGCCACACTTCACAGTTCCTCATTGACTCAGGGCATGGTGATGACAGGATCTTGGGATGAGAAGAAAAAAACAATACAAAAAAACGGATTTAGAAGATCCTTTCTGGAATTTCGTCAACCGGTTTTGGCGCTTACTACAAGATGTTTTGTCCTGTTCTGACTCGGCGGCGCAGTTTGATAAATCCATGTCTAGCTTTAGTGAATCATCGCATGTTCAAAAAAACATGTTTTGAGAACGCGCGTTCATTCATTACCACGACCTATAAGACCACGCCCTCGTAACAAGAGACTTTAGAAAACCAGGGCCGCAGGACGAGGCATCTTCCATCCTTCGCTTCCTCCCACTTGGATATGGCAAGGTCCTGGTTTGTAGTGTCCTGCTCACGGGGGCCCTGATGAGAATGCCACTCCCACGTCTCCCCCGCGTGCTCTTTCACTCGGAACGCCTTCGGCCGAAACATCTTCTCCCTACGAGTGCCCCCCTATGGGGGGGGAGGGGGCGAAATGCATTACCCCCTCCATTCTTATGTCGATGGCCTCCAAAGCGGCCCCGAGAGGACCCGGGTGGCCTGACACTGAATGCAAGGCAGCAAGAGGACTGTGTCTTGGCTGCTCCAAAAACGATCAAGGAAGAAAAAGAAACATTGTTGCATTTTAGAATAAAAGAATAAGGAGGAGGAGGAGACGAAGACGAAGAAGCAGCGCAGCGGCGCGCGAGACGCGCGCCGCTGCGCGGAGCGCAAGCAGCGACGCCGGCAGGCCTCAGCGCGAGGCGGCCGCGGGAGGCCGGCGCCCAAGCAGGCGACCGCTGGGGCTCGGGAGAGGGCCTCGCGACGAGCCCCCGAGCGAACCCCACGGCAGCCACCCGCGACGACGTGCTGTCCGCCGCCCAGGCCCCGCAGGGCGCCGGCGGGGCCGCCCCGAGCGAGCCGCCGACGGGCCGCCCCGCGCGAGCCGCTCTGGCCCAGGGCCGGCGAGGAGGCGGCGCCGCCGCCGCCAAGACGCCGTCGCCGTTGCCGTCGCCGTCGTCGTCGTCGCCGCCGTCGCCGTCGCCGTCGCCGTCGCCGTCGCCGTAGCCCTCGCCGTCGTCGCCGTCGTCGCCGTCGTCGTCGTCGTCGTCGTCGTCGTCGTGGGTCGACGGTCGTCGTCGATCGTCGTCGATCGTCGTCGTCGTCGTCGTCGTCGTCGTCGTCGTCGGTCGTCGTCGTCATCGTCGGTGGTCGTCGGTCGTCGTCGTCGTCGTCGTCCGTCGTGGTCGTCGTCGTCGTCGTCGTGGGTCGTCGGTCGTCGTCGTCGTCGGTCGTCGTCGTCGTCGGTGGTCGTCGGTCGTCGGTCGTCCTCGGTGGTCGTCGGTCGTCGTCGTCGTCGTCGTCGTCGTCGTCGTCGTCGTCGTCGTCGTCGTCGTCGTCGTCGTCGTCGTCGTCGTCGGTCGTCGTCGTCGTCGGTCGTCGTCGGTCGTCGTCGGTCGTCGTCGATCGTCGTCGTCGTCGGTCGTCGTCGTCGTCGGTGGTCGTCGGTCAGCTCTGACTCGAGATGCATCGAAATCAGTTTGCGTCGGCACGGGCCACGCCGGCACGGAGCCGGAATCGGCTCGGATCCGCGCCGGGATGCCCAGCAGCGCCATGCGAGCACCCAGACGCATCGCAACGTCGGAACGTCGGGATCGAATCGGATCGATCGGATCGATCAGATCGATCAATCGATCGGATCCAAGTAAGATCGATCGGATCGATCGATCGGTCGGGAACGTCGCTGGCCGATCCAAGTAGGATCGATCGGATCGATCGGATCGATCGGATCGATCGATGCCGGATCGATACCAAGCAGGATCGGGTCGATCGGATCGATCGATACCAGGTAGGCTGGGATCGGGCTGGCCGGAATCGATAACAAGCAGGGTCGATCGGATCGAGACGGGCCCTGGAGAGGGGCGGGTCACGAGCGGCGCTTAGGGCCCGGTCGCCTCTCGTGGGCGTCATCCCAGGTGCACTTGTCGACGAGCATGATCTCCCGGAGCAGCCGCTCGCGGCGCGCGAAGATGTCGCCTGGAGCCCGTCGTCGTCGTCATCGTCGTCTTCGTCGTCGTCAGCGTCGACGTCGTCGTCGGCGTCGTCGTCGTCGACGTCGACGTCGTCGTCGGCGTCGTCAACGTCGTCGTCCTCCTGTCCTCCTCCTCCGCTCTGCCGTCATCCTCCCGCACCCATTGGAAGCTCCCCGGGGCCTTTCTCGAGGGCTGCGGGCAGCCAGCGACGCGCCCTGCCCCCCCCCCCATTGCCAGAGCTCGCCTGGCCGAGCCACCCGTTGTCCTCGGGCCCAGCCTCCTCCGGAATCCCAGGAACTGTGTTCTGCACCATCCTCCCAGTTTCGAGCCCCGACGCACAACGCACACACACACACACACACCACGCACACACGCACGCACGCACGCACGCACGCACGCACGCACGCACACACACACACACACACACACACTTTCGGTCGTTGCGGCGCGGCGACTCGCCAGCGCGTTGGGCGGCCCTCGCGGGGCGCGCAGTACTCGGAAGAAGAGACAAGAAAAGAGAAGAAAAGAAAGAGAAGCAAGCGAAGGCGAGGCGGCCGGCCACTCACGGGGCAGTGGCCCAGAACGGCGCCGGGGCGCGGGGGCAGCGGGCAGCAGCATGCAGCGGCCAAGACGGCCCGAATTCGGACGACAAGGGGCCAGCAAGATAAAAGAAATGAGGGCCAAACAAATCCAGGGCGAAGCGAGGGGCGACGAGCGACAGCGGGCAGCGAGGAAGGAGACGGACGGACGCAGAGGAAACGGGCAGACCGACGGAGGAAAGGGAACCGAGGGGAAAGGAGGAGACACCGCACACACCCACCCACACACACACACAAAGTACACTCAAACACACACACACACACACACACGACGCCAAACACACGGAACACACAAAAACACACACGACACCTACAACCCACAGAACGCAGAAACAAAAAAAGTAAAAATAACACGCCCACCGCACGCACGCACGCACGCACGCACGGACACACACACACACACACACACACACACAAGCACACACAAGCACGCACACACACACACACACACACACACACACAACACCCCCACACAGCGACACGACAAACACGACACACACGACACACACACCACACACGACACACACACGACACACACAACACACACAACACACACACAACACACAACATAAGTGCTACTTGCGATCGAGTATTGTCGAAGGCACAGTGTACAAACCAAGTGAACTGTCAAGAGCAGGAATGGGTGGTGTGAAAGAGGAGCTGTAAATCCAAGCGAAGCGTCCAACGGCCAGGAGATTGCGCAAGGAAGAACTGTAACGGCTGCCAGATCAGCCGATGCGTGGACAGAGACGCTGACCCAACACGGCAACCAGAACAGTAAACTGAAGCGTGACCGCCAGGGGCAAATGCAGCCACTGAATCACCAAGGTGTGAGACAGTGAGGCGCAAGGAAGTACTCTGCTGGGAAGAGTAGTGGTGTCCGTCCTACCAGGCCCAAGCCCCCCCCCAAGCGAGCTCGCGTCGCTTACCCTACCCCTCCCCCCCACCCAAGTACCAGCCCAGAACTCCGCGCTCCGGGATCTCTGTCCGTGGCGCCGCATGCGTCTTCACCACGAAGGCAGGGGCACGAGGAGCGCGGCCCTGGGGCGGAGCTGCTCTCCCCGGACCAGCGGCGAGCGGGTGCCGCGAGTGCCGCGCACAGCCGTCTGCCGGCCCTCCGCCGAGCCTCGCTTCGGGACGCCGGCGGCCTGGATCCCCCAACTGCATAGAAATCGAATCGAGTCGAGTCGAGTCGAATCGACTCGAGTCGACTCGACATCGAAATCGAACAGAACCGAATCCTTCCTGCAAGGACGGCCTTGGATGGCCAGGCCAGTGAGGGTGTCGCTGTCGAGCTGGCAGGTGTGGTTCACCTCGCCGCTGGGAGCGGCGGAGGTGCCGTCCACCGGGAGCGGCAGGGTCGTCGCCGTCGTCGTCGCGGTCGCCGTCGCCATAGCCGTCGTAGCAGTGGTCGTTGGCGTCGTCGTCGCCGTCGTCGCCGTCGCCCTCGCCGACATTGCCGTTACCGCTGCCGCCATCATCGTGATCGATATCGCCGTCGCTGTTGCCATCCTCCTTCTCGGCCTCCGCCTCCTCCTCCTCACCATCTTCCTCCTCCTGCAAGCCCGAGATTGGCAAAGGAGGATGAGGAAGGGGGGGAGGAGGGAGGAGGAGGAAAGGGGGGAGGAGGAGGAGAAGGAGAAGGAGTAGGAGGAGGAGGAAGAGGAGGAGGAGGAGGAGGAGGACCCGCTCGTTTGTCGCGACAATCCAAGGGTGCAAACAAAGTGTGTGCGAATATCAGCTTTGCTTGTTATGGGGCCCTAGAAGCAGGAGGAGGAGGACCAGGCGGCGAAGGAGGATCTCCTCCTTGTCATCCTCTTCTTCCTCCGCCTCCTCCTCCTCCTCGTCCTCCGCCTCTTCCTCCTGCTCCTCCTCCTCTTCCTCGTCCTCGTCCTCCTCCTCCTCCTCCTCCTCCTCCTCCTCCTCCTCCTCCTCCTCCTCCTCCTCCTCCTCTCCTCCTCCTCCTCCTCCTCCTCCTCCTCCTCCTCCTCCTCCTCCTCCTCCTCCTCCTCTTGCTCCTCCTCCTACTCCTCCTCCATCTTCCCAAATTTTCTCGTCCCTAGTCCTGCTCCTGTCCCTTCCGCCTCCCCCTCATCGTTCTTTCAACATCCCGTCGCCCTCCCCCGCCCCTCCACTTCTTCCCCCTGCAAACGACCAGGGAGATCATTTGTATAACGACAGCTAAGAGCTAACTGTCAGCGGGTATGTGGCATGTCGAGCAACATTCCCGAACAGCCTGGCTCGCTACTTCATCCACAGACAGATCGGAGGTCAGAAGGCGAGATCGCAGTGGAACGGAGAACCCCCCACCGGGAGAGCGGTTTCGGTTGCGTGTTCGTGCCGTGCGCGCGGGCGATGCGAAGCTGCGTGGGCGGGCGACAGGAGTGAGCCCTACTCTGGCTGGGGTGCCGCTGGGCCAAAAGACCGCCCCCCCTCCTCCAGGTTGGCCGGCGGTGGCATCGGGTGTCCCGCCGTGGTGTCCCGGTGGTGTCCCGATGGTGTCCCGCGGTGTCCCGCGCTGTCCCGCGGCGACCCGCGGTGTCCCATGGCGCGGTGTCCCGTGGTGTCCCGTGGTGCCCCGTGGGGTCGATGGTGAGATCGATAGTGGGACCAGTGCTAGGGTCGGTAGCGAGATCGATAGTGAGTAGTGGGATTGATCGTGATATCGATGATAAGATAAACAGTGAGATCGATGGTGAGATCGATGATGGAATCGAGTGTGACATTGGTAATGAGATCGATGGCGAGATCGATACGATGAGGGATGGTGAGATCGATCGTGGAACGATGGTGAGGTCGATAGTGAGGCCGATAATGAAATCGAGAGTGCAATCAATCGGTTGAGATCGATAGTGAGATCGAGACTGAGATCGATAGTGAGATCAATTGTGAAATCGGTGGTGAGATTGGACACACACGGTCTTTGAGGGTCGCGACCTCGCGCGCAACGACGAAAGCGGAGAAAGTCAAGCAGCAGCTGGGGGCCCCGCGCGCGACGGGCTCAGAGGGGACAGCACCATATACCATCCGGGCGCGGATGGCGGGGAGAAAGGGAAGACGAAGCGACCACCGACCGACGACGACGACGACGACGACGACGACGACGACGACGACGACGACCACGGTCATCACCACCACCACGTCGACGACGACTACGACGACGACGAGGATGAAAAACACGAGGAGGATGACGAGGGGGACGAAAAGGACGAGGAAGAGGAAGAGGAGGAGGAAGACGACGACGACGACGACGACGACGACGCCGAGGAGGACGATGAACGACGACGAGGACGAGGATGAGGAGGAGGAGGAGAAGAAGAAAGATGAGGGTGAGAAAGACGACGACGAGGACGACGGCGGCGGCGACGACGTCAACGCAGACGCTCACGGCGACCCTCGCAGATGAAGCACTCGCCTGGATGGCCACCATGTCCAGCGTGGGGCGGAACGAGTGCCTGCACGACACGCCTCCGCGCGTGCCGCCGCGCCGAAGTCGGGGAGAGGCGGGCGAAAAAGAGGTCGAGGAGAGGGGGTCCTCGGAATGTCCTGGCACTGGGTGGGCCCTGGCAACGACGTGTCCACTGTTGTTTACCGTTCCCGCTACTGTGGCTTTTGCTGTTCTGCCCCTGCGACACATGTTCCCCCGTTCCGGCTTCGATCCTGGAGCCTTTTTGCCCCTGCTTGCGGGAGCCAGTTGGTGTTACCCTTTTCATGTTACAGAAAGAATATTCACAATGTTAACCACCGTGGGCCCCAAACGATGTGTTCCGGCAAGCTACGTGGTGCAAGCTACATGGTGCAATATATGTGGCGCAATTGGTTTTTACAAACGAGTTGACACATTCCATGCTCTTGCAAACATCCCACCCACTCACTCACAGCTTGGTTTGCAAAACCCATGTGCGTTTTACATAACGCCATCCCGGGGGATGGCGAGGTGTAAAACGTCACTCCGCCCACCACCCAGCAGTCCTCGACAGTGGAGACAGATTCGCAGATCGCAGCCCCCCAGGGATGGCAGGGTCTCCGCGTAGGACGTCACTCCGCTGCACCCCCCCGCAGCCTTCGAAAGCGGCGACAGTTTCGCAGATCGAAGCCCCCCCAAGGATGGCGAGGTCTCCTGGTGATCCGTGTAAGATGTCACTCCGCTGCACCCTCCAGCAGCCCTCGGAAAGTGGCGACAGTTTCGCAGAGCGAAGCCCCCCAAGGATGGCGAGGTCTCCTGGTGGTCCGCGTAGGGCGTCACTCCACTGCACCCTCCAGCAGCCATCGAAAGTGGCGACAGTTTCGCAGATCGCAGTCCCCGGGGGATGGCGAGGTGTAAAACGTCATTCCGCCCACCACCCAGCAGTTCTCGAAAGAGGCGACAGTTTCGCAGAGCGAAGCCCCCCAGGGATGGCGAGGTCTCCTGGTGGTCCGCGTAAGACGTCACTCCGCTGCACCCTCCAGCAGACCTCGGAAAGTGGCGATAATTTCGCAGAGCGAAGCCCCCCAGGGATGGCGAGGTCTCCTGATAGTCCGCGTAGGACGTCACTCCGCCGCACCCCCCAGCAGCCCTTGGAAAGTGGCGACAGTTTCGCAGATCGCAGCCCCCCAGGGATGGCGAGGTCTCCTGGTGGTCCGCGTAGGACGTCACTCCGCTGCAGCCCCCAACAGCCCTCGAAAGTGGCGACAGTTTCGCAGAGCGGCGCGCATCACGGGCGCGGGGCTGGTGCGCGCGCTGCAGCCGTGCGCCGGTCTGCGCCGCCTGGTGACGTGGCACGCGCTGCTCCCGGAAGCCCCCCAGGGATGGCGAGGTCTCTTGGTGGTCCGCGTAAGACGTCACTCCGCTGCACCCTCAAGTAACCCTCGAAAGTGGCGACAGTTTCGCAGATCGCAGCCCCCCAGGGATGGCGAGGTGTAAAACGTCACTCCGCCCACCACCCAGCAGTCCTCGACAGTGGAGACAGATTCGCAGATCGCAGCCCTCCAGGGATGGCAGGGTCTCCGCGTAGGACGTCACTCCGCTGCACCCCCCCGCAGCCTTCGAAAGCGGCGACAGTTTCGCAGATCGAAGCCCCCCAGGGATGGCGAGGTCTCCTGGTGATCCGTGTAAGACGTCACTCCGCTGCAGCCCCCAGCAGCCCTCGAAAGTGGCGACAGATTCGCAGATCGCAGCCCCGCAGGGATGGCGAGGTCTCCTGGCGATCCGCGTAGGACGTCACTCCGCTGCAGCCCCCAGCAACCCTCGGAAAGTGGCGACAGATTCGCAGATCGCAGCACCACACCGAACATCCAGGCAGGACGACGAGACAGCAGGCCGGGTAGCAGGCAAGTGGGAGAGATAAGAGGAGGGAAGCGGGAGTACGAGGTGTGCGACCGCAGCGCTCTATTCAAAACGAGTGCCCAACGCGGGAGGGTTGGGAACAAAACAGAACAGGAGGAGGAGGAGGAGGAGACGGACGGACGGACGGACGGACGGACGGACGGACGGACGGACGGACGGACGGAGGACGGCGAGGAGGGAGCGGGAGGGCAACAAGAAGGAGTCGGAAGAGGAGAAACAGGAGCAGAGGAAGGAAAGGAGTAGGACACAGGGGAGAAAGAGGAGAAGGCAGAGCTGGGGTGGGCGACGCGGAGGAGGCAGAGCGGAACCAGCAGAAGCAGGGGTAAATGAATCACGCGTCCCAGGAGCACGCAGGGCAGCGTGCCGAGCATACGTCAGTCGCACCACGGGAAAGGTATGCCTGGACGACGGTGGGGCCCTCCTCGTTCTTCTCCTCATCTTCCCCACCTTCCAAATACTCATCACTCCTTCAAGTCCTATCCCCCCCTGCCTGCTTCTGACTTGTACTCTTATTATTAGTATTATTATTATTAATATTAGTATTATTATTATTATTATTATTATTATTATTATTATTATTATTATTACTATTATTTGTAATAGTAGTAGTAGTAGTAGTAGTAGTAGTAGTAGTAGTAGTAGTAGTAGTAGTAGTAGTAGTAGTAGTAGTAGTAGTAGTAGTAGTAGTAGTAGTAGTAGTAGTAGTAGTAGTAGTAGTAGTAGTAGTAGTAGTAGTAGTAGTAGTAGTAGTAGTAGTAGTAGTAGTAGTAGTAGTAGTAGTAGTAGTAGTAGTAGTAGTAGTAGTAGTAGTAGTAGTAGTAGTAGTAGTAGTAGTAGTAGTAGTAGTAGTAGTAGTAGGTAAGTAGTAGTAGTAGTAGCAGCAGAAGCAGCAGCAGCAGCAGTAGTAGTAGTAGTCGTCGTCGTCGTCGTCGTCGTCGTCGTCGTCGTCGTCGTCGTCGTCGTCGTCGTCGTAGTAGTAGTAGTAGTAGTAGTAGTAGTAGTAGTAAGTAGTAGTAGTAGTAGTAGTAGTAGTAGTAGTAGTAGTAGCAGTAGTAGTAGTATAGTAGTAGTACCTCCTCCTCCTCCTCCTCCTCCTCCTCCTCCTCCTCCTCCTCCTCCTCCTAATACTACTACTACTACTACTACTACTACTACTACTACTCATCTTCCTCTTCTTTAAAAGCAATGGCAATCACCACTATCACGCATCCTAGCCACTCCCCCTCCTTCCGACATTCCTCCTCCTCCTTTTCGTCATCATCAGCCGCAGCATCATCAGCATCATCAGCATCTTCATCATCAGCATCAGCATCATCATCAGCATCATCATCATCAGCAGCAGCATTACCATCGTCGTCATCGTCAGCATCATCATCAGCATCGGCAACATCATCATCATCATCATCAGCAGCATCATCATCATCATCAGCATCATCATCATCATCATCATCATCATCAACACCACCATCACCATCATCAGAATCATCTTCATCATCAGCAGCGGCATCATCATCAGCATTATCAGCATCACCGTCATAATAATCATAATCATCAGCCGCAGCATCATCAGCATCAGCAGCATCATCAGCAGCATCAGCAGCAACAGCATCATCAGCAGCAACATCCCATTCCTCCTCAGCTTCCTCCTCCGCTGCCACCTGCTGCTTCTCCTCCTCTTCCACGTCGTATTCCTCACATCCTGTTTCTGTTATTCGTGCGTTGCCTCATCAACTTCCTCCTCATCCTAACCCTCATCCTCGACCTACCGTTCCCTCCCTACTGCTTGTCCTCGCACGTCTTGGCTCCAGGATTGTAATCGACCCTGCTCCGCATTTACCTGCGCATTGCAGTAATCATTGCATCACTGAAGCTAGCGACGTTGGATTCAAGCTTCGCATTCCACGTCTCTGTGAGCAACCAAATCGCCTGTTGCCCTTGCCCACCTCTGTCGCAAGCCAGTACCCCAGCGCTGCGGCTGATCAAGTTCGGCACCAGCTTCGCCTCCCACATGTCGCTGAGCAGCGACAGGGCCCGCTGCCACTGCCTGCCTTTCTCACAAGCACTAATTCCAGCACTGTAGGTGACTAGGGCTGACCCGTGGACTCCGTCCACGACATCTGGCCGAGAGCATTCTCGGGGGAGCGGCGGGAATGCTGCCGAAGAGCTATCCACATGGCGGTCAGCCCCTCGGCTTCGAGGGGGCCTCTGGAGGCCCTCTTGGGCTCTCGTCGGTGTCGTCTGGGCCGTCTCGGAACCGTCTTAGGCCGTCTCGGGCGCCTCTTGGGCGGTCTGGGGGCCGTCTTGGACCGTCTTGAGCGGCTCGTGGGGCTGTCTTCTTTGTGGCTGTCTTCGTCTTGGAGCCCTGGTAGGGGCATCTTGGGCCGATCATGGGGGGCTCTGTGGCCGTCGTGGACGCGTCGGAGACGACGAGCACGAGAATGCGACAAATATCAGTTCCCCGACGGGACTGGGACGATTTGCGCGTCTCGGGGCTGTCCTGTGGAATCCTCGAGGGCCGTCTTCGGAGGCTGCTCGCCTGTCCTGGGGGCCCTTGGGGCCGTCGGAGCAGCTTCTTGAGCGGCTCGGAGCGCCCCTGGGGCCGTCGGGGTGGCCTCTGGAATGACTCGGAGCCGTCTTGGGGTCGTCGTGGCGCCCTCTTTAGCGGTTCGGAGCCTTCTTTGGACCGTCGGGGCGGCCTCTGGAGCGTCTCGGAGCCGTCGCGGGGCCGTCGGGACGCCCTCTTCAGCGGCTCGAAGCTGCCATAAGTCACTCCCGCCGCCAACGGGAGGGTGTGTTCGCCCTGTCCCATTCCGTTCGCCCAGAGGGTCTGTGGAGGCCTCGAGCGTACAGAACGGGACAGGGCAAGGAATGTGGGAGACTTGTCCGAATCTCCTGGGCCCCCCAGGTGCTCGTCCGAAGAGTGCGGAAAGGTCCCTGGGTCATATCAATTGGCTGCTGTCCCAAGGGTCTGGTCTGGTTGACTCGGAGAGTCTGCCAAGGCCCCTGGGGGAGCAGAATAGCACAGCATATCGGGCAAGGAGAGCTTCAGGAGAGCCCCTAAAGCGACCCAGAGGCACCGAGGACGCCGCCGAGCGCGCGCCCACCATTCTGCCATGGAAGGCCCCTATGTGGCAAAATGCCTCTGGCACGCCCGGGGTGAGCGTGGGGGGGCGTGGACGTCCTCACATGGCTTCAAGATCGGCCATCGAGGAGACGACGAAGCTGCGGAGAAAACAAACATCTAAGGCCCTCGCAGTGTCGTCCAAGACGGTTCTTTTGGGTCTGAGAGTTGCCTTTCGCCTCTGATGAGCACCTCTGTCGGAAGGCTCGCAGTGTCTCCTGGGAGCCGTTCGGGGACCTGTTGGGATCTCTTGGGCGCCCCTTGGTGGTCTGCCGGAACCCGTCGGGGGCTTTTTGGGGCGTCCTGGAGGCTTCTTGGGGCCTCCTGGCTCTGTTGGGCCTCTCTTGAAACCGTCTTGGCGGCAGTTTGCGCTCTCCTGGCCGCCTCCGGGGCCGTCCTGGCCGCCTGTGGGGCCGTCATGGGGCCCTATGGGCTCGTCTTGGGGCTTTCTTGGGGGCCTCTTCGGCCGTCTTGGAGCCGTCTTGGGAACCTCTTTGGCGGTCGTGGATCGTGTGGAAGCCGGCAAGGCGAGGACGGAGAATACCATGCAAAAAAACATGAAAATCTATGGTTTTCTTGCTCGGGGCCCTTTGGGGGAGCTTCTGGGGAGGTCTCATGGAGCACCTTGGAGACATCTCGGGCGAGCTTGGACCAATCTTGGACCAATCTTGAGCGTCTGGGGCCCATCTGGGGGCCTGTTGAGCGGACTGGGGGGCCCTCTGGGCCCGTCTTCGAGCTCTCTCTGGAGCCTCTTCGGCCGTGCGGGAGCCGTCTTGGGAACCTCTTGGGCGTTGGTGGATCGTCTGAAAGCCAACAAGGCGAGAGCGGCAAAAACGCTGCAAAAAGCAAAAAAATGTATATTTATTATTGCTCGGGGCCTGCTGCGGGAGCTTCTGGGGAGGTCTCATGGAGCACCTTGGAACCTCTCGGGCCGACTTGGGCCTCTTGGGGCCCTCTTGGCGTGTCTTGGAGCCTCCCTGGGAGTCCTTCGGCGGCCCGGGGCCAGCCTGGGGCGGTTTTGACTACATTGATCCTGCGGCATTCTGGCGCGCACGGCCCCCGGCATTGTAGTATAGATAGACTAGGGCTGACACGTGGACTACCAAATCTGCACGAATTGGCACGTGGTGTGATGGCGGAAAAGTTACCGACGGTCATTCATGGGGACGTCGTGCTCGAGGCGCGAGCATCGAGAAACGAGCAACTTATTTGCAATGAGGAGCGAGGTGGAGCGAGGAAAAGCCAGTTCAGAGAGAGAAAAGAACCTTCGCGGGGCTCTCTGGGGCGGTCTTGGGGCCTTGATAGGGCCGCGTGGAATGGAAGGTACGGAGGTGCGAGGAGGTATGAGCAATGCACTTGCAGCCAGGAGTGAGGAGCGAGGGACCAGGAGAGAGAAGCGAGCAGAGAGAAGTGAGGGTAGCTAAGAACGAGGAAAAAGGAGCGAGGAGGGAAGGGCTCGGAAGAGCGCCGGGAAGCTGCCATGGGAGCTCCGTAGACCATCGTGCAAGAAGGGGAATCACATGCGAGGGCGAGGATCGCTTGCCTGGTGACCTGGTAGCTTTTGGCCGGATCGCATGCTTTCCGTGTTGCTTGATTCATTGTTTGCCTGTCAGCATGGTTGGCGCTGCCTGCCGTAACTTCTACATGATATGTATGTTCTTTCTCGCAGGCACGGGCTGGTGTTCGCCATCACGTGCTGCTGCGTGACGCGGCTTTGCGGTACTGCGTGCTGATGCTTGGTGCTGGTCGATGCCGCGTGCTTGATACTGTGTGCTGCTGACTGCTAGGAGCGATCAGCAGGGAGCGAGGAAAAAGGAGCGAGAAGGGAGGAGCGACGGCAGAGGAGAGGGGCGAGCAAGGATGAGGGAGAGCCGAGGAGGGAGGAGAGAGGTGCGAGCAGCCAAAAGGAAGGAGCAGAGGGCCAGAAGAGAGTTGCGAGGGGCAGGGAGGAGTGAGAAGAGAGGAGCAAGCCAAGCTACGCGCGCTCGCGCCATATCTGGCGTCCTGCCCTCCCCCCGTCCCCGTCCACTGCGTTGAAACCCTGTCTATTCGCAGAGTCGGGCGTCGGGAAAATCAGTGACCCCAGGTGTCTTTCCCGACACCCAGCTACACATACAGCAGAGCACGGCACAGAAAAGCAACTCCTCTGGAGGCACGGAGCATATGCGGAAGCAGGAGGCGGCCAGCGCCGCAGATGAAAAATCGATGGAGATCAAGGCGGCACACGCTGCGGGGGAGGAGCACCACTTTTTCTGTTGCGGGGCTACGGTCGGCGCTGAGGGGAGAGCACCGATCTTCGACGGAACACACAGTAATTTAGCAAACCCCGCAGCGAATTGGTACAAGGATACGCCCACCACAGCCACAGGTGCGGCGACCGCGTCGTTCCGTTGGGCGCAGGCTCCCGGGTGAACATGAAATGCGGCGAACGTAGCAGGCACCAGCGAGAGAACCATCTCTCAAAGGCCACTCGGATCGGGCCTTCTTGGGCTCCCTTGGGGTCCTCCCGTCAATACTCCTCCTCCTCATCCTCCTCCCTCCTCCTCCTCCTCCTCCTCCTCCTCCTCCTCCTCCTCCTCCTCCTCCTCCTCTCCTCCTCCTCCTCCTCCTCCCTCCTCCTCCTCCTCTTCCCCATCCCTCCTCCTCCTCCTCCCTCCTCTTCCTCCTCCTCCTCCTCCTCCTCCTCCTCCTCCTCCTCCTCCTCCTCCTCGTCCTCCATCTCCTAGGGCGCCTGAGAGGTGTTCTCGGGCCATCTCCGGGCGGTCCTGGGCCGTCTCGGGGCCGTCCTGCGGCCATCTTGGGGGCCAGCAGGGCCCTCCTGGGGGCCAAAAAAAGGACCGCAGGGGTCCTCTCCAAGGTGTCTGGAGCCCTCTGCGGAGAGATCCGCAGCCGAGACATGGGAAACGGTGAAAGCGCTCACAAACTCACAGGAATGACATGATTTCCGCCTGAGCCCTCGGCACCGTCTCGGAGACGCCCCGAGGCCGGTCGCAAATTTCCAGGGCCCATGCGGAGGTCCGGTGGAAGCTGCCAGGGTCTCCCGTGGGCGCCGACGACTGAATCGAGTCCCTGGCCCCCCTCACCCGCAGGAGTCACTACAATGTAGTAGAGACGACGTTGGGCTCCAGCCTCGCCTCCCGCATCTCGCTTAGCAGCGCCAAGGCCCGCTGCCACTGTTCGCCCTTCCCGCACGCGCTGATCCCAGCGCTGTAGCAGACGACGCCTGGCTCCAGCTTCGCCTTCCACATCTCGCCCAGCAGCGCCAAGGCCCGCTGCCACTGCTCGCCCTTCCCGCACGCACTGATCGCAGCGCTGTAGCTCATCACGTCGGGCTTCAGCTTCGCCTCCCGCATCTCGCTCAACAGCGCCAAAGCCCGCTCCCACTGCTCGCCCTTCCCGCACGCGCTGATCGCAATGCTGTAACTGACAACGCCTGGCTCCAGCTTCGCCTTCCACATCTCGCTCAGCAGCACTAAAGCCCGCTCCCACTGCTCGCCCTTCCCGCACGCGCTGATCGCAGCGCTGTAGCTCACGACGCCGGGCTCCAGCTTCGCCTTCCACATCTCGCCCAGCAGTGCCAGAGCGCGCTCCCACTGCTCGCCCCTCCCGCACGCGCTGATCGCAGAGCTGTAGCTCATCACGTCGGGCTCCAGCGTTGCCTTCCGAATCTCGCTCAGCAGCACCAAGGCCCGCTGCCACTGCTCGCCCTTCCCGCACGCACTGATCCCAGAGTTGTAGCTGACAACGCAGGGCTCCAGCTTCACCTTCACGATCTCGCTCAGCAGCGCCAAAGCCCGCTGCCACTGCTCGCCATTCCCGCACGCGCTGATCCCAGCGCTGTAGCTGACCAGTGTGTACCCATGGAGCACATCCGCAGGTGCCCTGGTAGGGGAACGCGGCGGGGCCATGTCGGGACCATATTGGGTCGTCTTGGGCGCCTCGTGGACCGTCTTAGGGGCTTTCCCTGAGCTGTCTTGCAGCTCTCTTAGGCCGTCTTGCAGCCTTGCGGGAGGCTCTGGGAGCATCCGGAGAAACTCGAAAGTGCCCCAAGAGGGGCTCGAAAGGGCCCGAAGACGGCCCCAAGAAGGCCCCCAGAAAGCGACCGACGGATGCTACAACAGGGGGGTGCGCTGTAGCATTCGTTGGGGGGCCTCTTCGGGCTCTCTGGGAGCGCTCTTGGGGCCGTCTTGAGATTGTAGGGGGCCATCGTTGGGCCATCTTGGGTCGTCTTGGGCGCCTCTTGGACCGTCTTGGGGCTATCTTGGACCGTCTTGGGCCGTCTTGGGGCTCTCTCGAGACGCCTTGGGATTCTCTTGGGGAGCCTCGTAGGCCGGCTTGGGGCGATCTTGGGGGCTGTTGAGCCGTCGTGGACGCTGCAAGGGCCCAAAAGTCGTGTATGCTAAAAATGTTGGAGAAAACATGCAGGAAACCTTGGATGTTTGCACTGGGGGGGCCCTGCTGGGAGTGCTCTTGGAGCGTTCTCGGGGGCCCTCTGGAAAGCTTTTTCGGCCGTCTGGAGGCCGTCTTGGGCTATCTTGGGGGCCCTCTGAGGCTGTCTGGGCGCCATCTGGAGCCATCTCGAGACCATCCTCGGCCGTGTTGGAAGCATCTTCGACGAACCTTGGAGGCTTCTCCTTGGACTCGTCCGAGCCGTCTGGGAGGCGCAGGTCCGCGCGGCGGGCCCTCCCGGCAGCACCCCCCCCCCGGGCGCTGGCACCGGAGCAACGCACCACGCGCTGCTCCCGGTGTTGTAGGATAGACTACAGGGCAGATTTTAATACATAGGATTGTTTTAAATTGCTTTTTAGACATGACTAATCTATGACTAAAATTATGCATGAACTCATCGCTGTTCCCTACCTAGGCTCTGCCTAGAAGGGTTCTTACTCGCTTGGCTTAAAGGGGCCGGGCAGTGCAAACCGCCCCGGGCGGTTCCCCCAGTCCCCTGGGAGCGAAGCAAAAGCAACAGCAAAGGTAAAAGCAAACGCGCGGTTCCCCCAGTTGCGCTCCCTGGGTGCCAAGCAAAAACAAAAGCAAAGGCAAAAGCAAAGGCAAAAGTGAAGGCAAAAGCGAATGCAAAGCAAAAGCATAGCATAGCATAGCATAGCATAGCATAGCATATCATAGCATAGCATAGCATAGCATAGCATAGCGCAGCCTAGCATGGCGCAGCATAGCATATCATATCATAGCATAGCATAGCATAGCCTAGCCTAGCCTAGCCCAGCATAGCATTGCGCAGCATAGCATAGCATAGCATAGCATAGCATAGCGCAGCACAGCATCCACTATTGCTGGGCCCTCATCTCCGACCTCATCTCCGTGCCTGCTTGCTTTTGCTGCTGTCTCGGCGACTTGCTGCCTGCTTCTGCTGCTGCTTCACTTACGGCGTGGCGTCGGCGGTTCTGGCGCTACTACTACTACTACTACTACTACCACTACACTACTACTACTACTACTACTACTACTACTACTACTACTACTACGACTACTACCTACTACTACTACTACTACTACTACTACTACTACTACTACTACTACTACTACTACTACTACTACTACTACTACTACTACTACTACTACTACTACTACTACTACTACTACTACTACGACTACCGTTACTGCTACAACTACGCCGATGAGGAGAAGGAGGAGGACGGCGTTTATCGCTCCTACTAATGTTGCTTGCCTAGAGGCTCCAACTCCTAGGTAGGGTCGCACGCGGAGCATGTATTAGTCTGGCGAAGGACCCAACCATATGCAGTTGTGAGTAATGCTGGTGTGAGTACCGTCTTCGGTGGATCTCCCTATGGGGCCACGAACCGTTTGAGGGGTGTGCCGAAATGGGTGTGGGGGCGGCATGCGAACGTTGCCACTGGGGCCTTCGGTGGAGCTCCTTATGGGGCCACGAAACGTGTGAGGGGTGCACCGAAGTTGGTGTGGGGGCGGCATGCGAACGCAGCCACTGGGGCCTTCGGTGGAGCTCCCTGTGGGGCCACGAAACGTGTGAGGGGTGTGCCGAAATGGTGTGGGGGCGGCATGCGAACGCAGCCACTGGGGCCTTCGGTGGAGCTCCCTATGGTGCCACGAAGCGTGTGAGGGGTGTGCCGAAATGGGTGTGGGGGCGCATGCGAACCCAGTCACTGGGGCCTTCAGTGGAAATCCCCATGGGGCCACGAAACGTGTGAGGGATGTGCCGAAATGGGTGTTGGGGAGGCATACGAACCAGGCCACTGGGGCCTTCGGTGGAGCTCCCTATGGGGCCACGAAACGTGTGAGGGGTGTGCCGAAATGGGTGGTGGGGAGGCATGCGAACCCTGCCACTGGGGCCTTCGGTGGAGCTCCCTATGGGGCCACGAAACGTGTGAGGGGTGTGCCGAAATGGGTGGTGGGGAGGCATGCGAACCCTGCCACTGGGGCCTTCGGTGGAGCTCCCTATGGGGCCACGAAACGTGTGAGGGGTGTGCCGAAATGGGTGGTGGGGAGGCATGCGAACGCAGCCACTGGGGCCTTCGGTGGAGCTCCCTATGGGGCCACGAAACGTGTGAGGGGTGTGCCGAAATGGGTGGTGGGGAGGCATGCGACCCTGCCACTGGGGCCTTCGGTGGAGCTCCCTATGGGGCCACGAAACGTGTGAGGGGTGTGCCGAAATGGGTGTGGGGAGGCATGCGGACCCTGGCCACTGGGGCCTTCGGTGGAGCTCCCTATGGGGCCACGAAACGTGTGAGGGTGTGCCGAATGGGTGGTGGGGAGGCATGCGGACCCTGCCACTGGGGCCTTCGGTGGAGCTCCCTATGGGGCCACGAAACGTGTGAGGGGTGTGCCGAAATGGGTGGTGGGGAGGCATGCGACCCTGCCACTGGGGCCTTCGGTGGAGCTCCCTATGGGGCCACGAAACGTGTGAGGGGTGTGCCGAAATGGGTGGTGGGAGGCATGCGGACCCTGCCACTGGGGCCTTCGGTGGAGCTCCCTATGGGGCCACGAAACGTGTGAGGGGTGTGCCGGGTGTGGGGGCATCGGACCCTGCCGACTGAGCTGGGGCCACGAAACGTGTGAGGGGTGTGTGAAATCGGTGGTGATGATGATGATGATGATGATGATGATGATGATGATGAATGATGATGATGATGATGATGATGATGATGATGATGATGATGATGATGATGATGATGATGATGATGATGATGATGATGATGATGATGATGATTGATGATGATGATGATGATGATGATGATGATGATGATGATGATGATGATGATGATGATGATGATGATGATGATGATGATGATGATGATGATGATGACGATGATGATGATGATGATGATGGGAGGAGGGAGGGGGGGAGGAGGAGGAGGTGGGGAACGCGGGGCGCCGTCTCTTCAAAACGAGGACCCAACACCACAGGATGGTTGGGAATTAAAAACGGCACTGTAGGGCCGACCCGTGGACTACGTCCACGAAATCTGCGCGAGCTGGCATGTGCTGGTGGGCATGCTGCCGAAAGGCTCACATGATGGCGTGAGGCTCGAACTTCGCAGTCCGCGCATGGTGCTGCGTGCTGCCGCTTGCTGCCGATGCTGCGTGCTGTTCGTACTGCTCACTGATCGCTGCTGCGCGCTCTTGCTGCTTGTTGCTACAGTGTGCTGCTGATGTTGGGTCGGACGTGCCGTCTCGTCAGGGTGTTGGTAAAATAGAGGCCCTCTGAGGCGCCTCGGGTGCTCCTGATGAGGCTGTCGAGAGGCTTGCAAAAAGGTACTGGGATCGCCAAGGAAGCTCGCAAGGCACTCCAGGGGGAGCCCAAGGGGGCTCCAAGATGGCATACAATTTCGCAAGAATTGTCCCTCCCCCGCCCCCCCTCCACCAAAATACCCCCCCCAACAAAAAAACGCCGATGGGTCGGACGTGCCGTCTTGCCAGATGTTTATCAACCCTGCTGTGTTGGGCTCTCGATGTGGATAGCGCACCGTAGTACCCACCGCTTTCTCCCGCCTCCCTTCTCCTCCCCGCCTCTCTCCTCCTGCCGTCTGCTTCCTGCTTGATTGGCAACCATCCTGCGTTGCGTTCTCATTCTGAATAGAGCGCTCTGGTCTCCATCTCCTCCCGCCTTCTTCCTCCTCTCCCTCGTCCTGCGCTGCTCCCTGGGTGGCTGCGAATTGCGCAACTGGCGCCACTACCGCGGGCCCCTGGAGGCACGGCGGAGTCGGGGAGTACGCGGACCCAGACGCGACCTTCGCTGCTCCCTGGATGGCTGCGAACTGTGCAACTGTCGCCACTTTCGTGGGCTCCTGGGAGGTCCAGCGGAGTTGGGGACCAAGTGCGCAATTGTCGCCGAGACCTCGGGGCCCCCTGGGAGGCGACGAAGTGCGCAATTGTCGCCATTCGTGGGCTCCTGGGAGGCACGGCCGAGATGAGGGCAGTGCAGATCGTGTTTTGTATCTTATATATATATATATATGTGGTACCGGAGAAACCAACCAAAATCTGTTTAGGGCTGTAGGGCTATGGGGCTATAGGGTTCTAGGACCAAAGGGCTACAGGTCTATGGGGCTATAGGGCTATAGGGTTATAGGCATAGAAAGCTATGGGGCTATAGGGATATGGGGCTATAGCGCAACAGGGCTGTAGAGATTTAGGGCTAGAGGGCTATAGGGCGATTGGGCTATAGGGCTATAGGGGCTATAGGGCTATAGGGGCTATAGGGCTATAAGGCTATGGGGCTGTAGGGCGATAGGGCTATTGGGCTGTAGGGCTATAGCGCTATACAGCTATAGGGCTATAGGGGTGCAGGGCCATAGGGCTATAGGGCTATAGGGCTATAGGGCTGTACAGGGCTATAGGGCTATAGGGCTATAGTGCTATAGGGTGATGAGGCTATAGGGCTGTAGGGCTATAGGGTGATGAGGCTATAGGGCTATAGGGCTATAGGGCTATAGGGCTATAGGGCTGTAGGGTTGTAGGGCTATAGGGCTATAAGGCCATAGTGCTATTGGGCTATAGGGCTATAGGGCTAGTGTACTATAGGGCTATAGGGCTAGAGGGATATAGGACTACAGAGCTATAAGGCTATAAGTCTATAGGGCTATAGGGCTATAGGGCACCAAGGCATCCAGGCACCCGGGCACCCGGGCACCCGGGCGTGCCGCCAGAATCGGCGCCATACCTCACCTAACCATATGAATCCGCAAGGACCTCTACAGAAGTAAGCTCTGATTGGCGAGTAAATCCGCTAGGAACCCTACAGAGGCAAGCTCTGATTGGGGAATGTATGTATATATCTATATATACACCTATACGACCACCCTGCGGGTGATAAGGAGATTGGAGGGGTGGGCCAGCAATGGGCAACAGTGGTGATTGTTGTTCTGAAATGCCTCTGGTGCGCAGTCTAGTGAGTAGTGTGATTGTGATCGTGAGCGTGAAGTGATGTGGCGATGTTGACGAAGCGCACTCGATGTGCATATCGATGTGCATGTCGATTTGCTTGGCGACCTGCATTTCGATTTGCATGTCGACTTGCATTGGAAAGCTCGCCGCAGGCGCCGATTTTTTAAAATGCGAAACCCACGGCGCCTTACGATTTGCATTTGGATGTGCATGTCGATTTACATTTCGATGTGCTTTTCGGTTTGCATGTCGGTTTGCATGTAGACTTGCATTGGATAGCTCGCCGCAGCCACGGCGGGACACCAGCGGGACACCAGCGGGACACCGGCGGGACACCGAGGACCGTTTGACGGGAGGAGCATCATTTTGTCTGGCCGCGGCCCAGCCACAGGAGGATTTCGGGACACCAGCGGGACACCGGCGGGACACCGCGGGCCACCAGCCGCCGGAGGAAAAACATTTGGTCCGGCCGCGGCCCAGCCACAGGAGGATTTCGGGACACCAGCGGGACACCGGCGGGACACCGCGGGCCACCGGCCGCCGGAGGAGAAACATTTGGTCCGGCCGCGGCCCAGCCACAGGAGCATTTCCTCTCGCCCGCCCACGCAGCTTCGCCTCGCCCGCACGCACGCACGGCACGCACGACACGAACCCGAAACCGAAATCGATTTCCCGGTATGGGGGGTCTCCGTTTCACGTCGGACTCACCCCCCAACCTCCCATATATATATATATGTGTGTGTGTGTGTGCACATGTGTGTGGCGATGCGTCCTTTTGTACGGAGCGGCCATGTAAATATTCACACTGCGTGGAGAACGGGTTGGGCACGTCTCGGGTAATCGATAAATTGGAGGCCCTCGGGGGCCCTTCCTGGGCCACTGAATGGGCGGCCGAGAAGCTCGCAAAAGGTTCTGGGATCGCCGAGGAAGCTGGCAGGGCGCTCCTGGGGGAGCCCAAGAGGGCTCCAAGAGGGCTTCAAGTTAAACAATAATTCGAAGCAACCAGAAAAACTGTTTTGTTGGATGTGCGTTGAAGGCGAAGCTATCTGGTGCGCGTCAGGAGCGCCGGGCCCCTTCTCTTGGAAGCAGTTTTGAAGCCTCCCGAGCGAAGTAATCAAAGCAGAGCCGTCCAGGGAAAGGCCGTCTGCATGCAATGGCCCTTTTCGCACGCGGATTTCCGGGTACTTACAACAGAAGACGTCAGGCTCGAGCTTCGCCTCACACATCTCGCCCAGCAGCGCCAAAGCCCGCTGCCATTGCTCGCCCTTCTCGCACGCACTGATTCCAGCGCTGTAGCTCATCATGTCGAGCTCCAGCTTCACTTCCCTCATCTCGCCCAGCAGCGCCAAAGCCCGCTGCCACTGCTCGCCACTGGTACACGCGCTGATCCCAGCGCTGTAGCCAATGAGGTCGGGCTTGAGCTTGGCCTCCCACATCTCGCCCAGCAGCGCCAAAGCCTGCTGCCACTGCTCGCCCTTCTCGCACGCACTGATTCCAGCGTTGAAGCTGACTAGTGTGAACCCGTGGATTAAAGCCACGGTGTGCTGAACTCGCACACCGTGGGTAAACCGCTCGTCGAAGTTGAACAGCTCGGGTGTCTCTGGGGCCCTGTCCAGGGCATGATGGGTCATCTGGCGAGCCTGTTTGGGGCGTCTTGAAGCCTCTTGAAAAATTTTGGGCGCCTCTGGGGCCGTTCCCGGGCTGTCCCCCAGAGCCTCTTCTGGGGGACAGCCCAGGAAGCATGTCAGAAATGAAAAAAAGCTCACACTTTTGCACCTGAGGCCCTGCTGGGAGTGCTCTTGGAGCGCTCTGGACGCCTTTTGGGAGCTTTTCCGGCCGCCTGAAGGCCGTCTGGGGCTATCTGGCGGCCCTCTGAGGCCGTCTGGACGCAATCTCGGGCC